TGCCCAGGCGGGTCTTGAACCCGCGGGCTCAGGCAATCCACTCACCTCAGCCTCCCAAATGCGTGGGATTACAGACTGAGCCACCGAGCCCGGCTCATCAGAGTGAGACTTCTACTCAAAACAACAACAACAGCAATAACAACAACAACAACAACAACAAAATATATATATATATATATATAAACTAAAATCCATCGCCTGGCGACTCCATCACCCAGTACAGGACTGGAAGGCTTGATTTTATTCATATGCCTAGACACAAAAATATATCTGCTAATGTGCATTGATACGTTTTCAGGCTGGCTAGTGGCATTTCCTACAACCTCAGAGCTTCAGAGGTTTCACGGCATCTTATCAATTATTTCTTCCTTTTTTTTTTAGTCGGAGTCTCACTCTGTCATCCAGGCTGGAGTGCAGTGGCTTGCTGCTCACGGCCACTGCAGCCTCAACCTGTTAGATTCAGGCGATCCTTCCTCCTCAGTCTTACAAGTAGCTAGAACTACAGGCATGTGCCAGCTAATTTTTCTTGACTTATTGTAGAGAGGAGGTCTCTCCAATTTGCCCAGGCTGGTCTCAAACCCTTGAGTTCAGGCAGTCCCCTCGTCTCTGCCTCCCAAAGTGCTGGTATTACAGATGGCATGCCCGGCAATTTATGTATTTTTTACCCTCAAGTGACACCATGCTAAAAACCATGTGCAAAACATTTCTCAGCTATTTTGTTACGGGGTTGAAATCAGGAATGAGAGGTTAAGGCTGTGTCCTAGAGAAAAGCATTATTTGGTTTTGTGGTCCCTGAAAAATGAAGGCTTTTCAGTGTTACCTCCTACTAGAAAAATATCTCTTGCTCACTGCTCTGTGTCTTCCATTAACAGTCAGATATTAACTCATTGGTGACTGCTGATGTGAATTTATGTCATTCTAAATTGTGTTCCTGGTTACTACTGATGTGAATTTACATCTTTGCAAATTCTGTTTTGAATGGTGCAACATTGTCACATGCATGCGTTATTATATTTTGCTTGAAAATGAATAGTCAGGCAAGGAGAAAGTTAATTGAGATAATTATCTGATATTGGCTGTGCAATGTTGTTATTGATTTAAGAAGTTGATAAAAATTGCAAGTTGGTCATTATTTTGTTGTGATGAGAAATGTATACTTGTATTTTGATATTTCAGGGCTGTCATACTTCAACATTAAAAATAATTTACCATAATTATGAAAAATGAAGAAATATATGCTGATGAGATTTCCAAGGTTGAAGGTGAATCCAGTGAACTTACTACTGATAGTGAGACATATAGTGACGTAATGATGCAATGTAAATGAAGACATAAAACGTAGATAATTTATGACAGTGAATCTAGTATTGGTGAGAAAGAATCAGACATTGTGTGGACAAAATATGATCCAAAAGGATACTTAGAAGTGTTTATTGGTAATCCAGGTGTCAAGGTATTTCCAAATGATTCTCAAAGTATAAGTGAAATTGTCAAACTATTTATTGGTGATGATTTTATAGAAATGATTGCAACTGAAACTAACAGGTATTATGACCAGATGCACCACAGATATAAATGTCCAAAGAAATAAAAAAAGTGGAGCAATACTACAGTGTCTGAGATGAAAAAATTTCTAGCATTAAATATTTTGATAGGACAAGTGAAGAAAACCACAATACATGATTATTGGTCAACACATTTGTCAATTGTGATGCCATTGTTTTAAAAATAATGACACAAAATAGATTCCTACAAATTTTGCCATTATTTCATTTTTCCAATAATGTAGAAATGCAGTCAAATCCAAGCAGATTATGCAAAATTGAACCCATAATAAATTATGGGTTTTTTTTTTTTTGAGTTGGAGTCTCACTCTGTCGCCCAGACTGGAGTGCAGTGGCCGCTCCCGGCCACCACAGCCTCGACCTGCTGGGCTTCGGCGATCCTTCTGCCTCAGCCTTCCAAGTAGCTGGAACTACAGGTGCGCGCTACCACGCCTGGCTAATTTTTGATTTATTGTAGAGATGAGGTCTCACCAAGTTGCCCAGGCGGGTCTCGAACCCACAGGCTCAGGCAATCCACTCACCTCAGCCTCCCAAAGTGCTGGGATTACAGGCTGAGCCACCAAGCCTGGCTAATAAATTATGTTTTAAATAAGTTCAATGCTGTATACAAACCTGAACAAGAACTTTTGTTGGATGAATCCATGATACCTCATCGTGGAAGATTGTCTTTTTGGGTTTGTAATCCTAATAAAAATACAAAGTATGGAATGCTAGTCAGAGTGGTGTCTGTGGCAAATACTGGATATGTCTGCAACTTTCAGCTGTATTGTGAAAAAGGTGACAATTTAGAAAAGACCATTTCACTTGTGCTTAATGGCAGAAGTTTGCAGCAACCAGCTTCAGATTTTATTTTCACCCGCATTGAATATTAAGAAAATGAAATTTGCCGGTCATGAATATATGAAGACCTGTTGGAAGCATAGACCTTTTTTTTTTTGTTAAACATGATTTATTAAGAGGACAGAAAAGCTCCCATAGTGGGAGGGGACCAGAAGGGGTTACCCAGAGGCACAGACTTTGATGGAACTCTCTAACCATAACCCCTCCTTTTGCTTCTTATTGGAGCCCAAAGGAAAGGTGCTGATGATTAAGTCTTTCTGTGTAGGTACGAGAAGCCTTACAGCATATCCCTGGCAAGTATGAGGACTTCCTTCAGGTCATCTATGAATTTGAGCCAAGTACCCAGAGGCAGACAGCTGTGGATCTCTACAAAAGCCTGCAAATTCTGCTCTAAGACTGGCCTCAGCTTTTTTTTTTGAGTTGGAGTTTCACTCTGTTGCTCAGGCTGGAGTACAGTGGCACTGGCAGTGGCTCAGGTGATCCTTTCGCCTCAGCCTTCCAAGTAGCTAGAAATACAAGTATGCACCACCACGCCCAGCTAATTTTTTGATATAGTGTAGAGACAAGGTCTCGCCATGTTGCCCAGGCTGGTCTTGAGCCTGTGGTCTCAGGCAATCCTCTCACCTTGGCCTCCCAAAGCGCTGGGATTATAGGCATGAGCCATCGTACCTGGCTGGGCTCAACTTTTGAAGGACTTTGCTGCTTTCCTGTTACCTAAGCTCTGGCCTGTGGATTAGTAAATAAATGGGCACAAAGACTACGCTGTGAATCTGGGTCAGAGTGCGACTGGGATGGAGTAAAGTTGGGTAAGACTGTTCCAGTCTTCTAGCTGCTGCCAGACAGATGGCCTCCTTCTAGCCCAAGTCGTAAGAGTCTCTGTCTTCAAGGAATGATCTACCCAACCTTATTCTCCCATTTTCTTTACATGGCAAATGAGGGGATTTTACCTTTAGTTGTCAACGGATACCCTAGGTAAGTCATATGCTTTCTGCTCCTCACTGGTATAAACAGGTGTTCATTTAACAAGTATTTGTTGAGTGCCTATTATATGTCATACAAATTCCTAGGTACTAGGAATATAGCAATTTAGAAAGACTAAAATCTCAGTCTAGACAACATAGCAAGACCTTGTCTCTACAAAAGATAAAAAAAATTCGGCAGGCAAGATGGTGCATGCCTGTGGTCCCAGCTACTAGGGAGACTATCGGAGCCCAGGAGCTGGAGGCTGCCGTGAGCCATGAACGTGCCACTGCACTTCAGCCTGGGTGGCAGAGTGAGACCCAATTAAAAAAATAAATAAAAAGAATAAAATACCTGCCCTCAGGGAACTTACATTCCCAAGGGGAGGCCAGGTGATAATCTAAAAAACATCTATGTGGGCTGGGCGCTGTGGCTCATGCCTGTAATCCTAGCACTTTGGGAGGCGGAGGAGAGAAGATTGCCTGAGTTCACAAGTTTGAGACAAGCCTGGGCAACATGGCAGCTCCTCGTAGGTAGTTTTTCTAGAAACTCGCCCACGGCAGGTTCTGCCATGAATCTTTCTTTTTCCTTCTCTTCTTTCTCTAATAAAGATTGTTTTAAAACTTAAAAAATATATATTGACAGTAAAATATATAGTAATTTTTTTTTTAGTTGGCTTCTTACTCTGTTGCCCAAGCTGGTGTGTAGCAGCAAGCTCACGGCCACCGCAGCCTCGACGTGCTGGACTCAGGTGATCCTTACCCCTCAACCTTCCAAGTAGCTGGAACCACAGGCACATGCTACCACACCTGCCTAATTTTTTGATTTATTGTACAGATGAGGTCTTGCCAAGTTGCGCAGGCTTGTCTTGAACCCCTGGGCTCAGGAATCCTCTTGCTTCCACATTCCAAAATGCTGGGATTACAGGTATGAACCACCGTGCCCAGCCATAGATAATGTTTTATAGTGATCATGCTGTATAGAAAAATAAAACAGGAAAGGGCACTAGATGGTTGTCAGGCAGGTAGGTGAGGGGATGGTATGTGCAGTTCTGTGCACGGTGGTCTGTGATAAAGTGAGATCTGGAATGTTGAAGAATAAGAGTCTAAACCTGGGCTTCTTGTCATGACGAATAAAAATAGGAATATAGGGACTACTGAGTGTATTCTCATAGTCTTATGGCAGCTAAATGACGGGATGGTATGCATAGTGGCTGTCTTCTCTTCTGGTATTATGAGGACCACGTGATTGTATATGTGCAAACTCTCTGTAAACTGTAGAGTACCACGGAGTTTGAGTGTCTGATTTCACTGTCCATAAAAGAGTGAACAACCCGCAACATGCACATCTTTTGGATCTTTTATTCACATCATATTTACTTTGGTTGGATGCCACCAGTTGCCCAACGTGGATGGATGCTAGGGTTTTAAATGAGACTTCACAGTTGGGAACTAACGTTGTAAACTGGGGCTGTACACTAGGTTTTGTCCCCCACGCCCCGGCTCACTGGTTCTTATCCTTAGAATCCTCAAGGCCTGCTCTGGCTGTAAAGTGGCCCCCCCTTTGCCTGCTTTCACTCTGGTAGTTTGAGGAGCAGCAGGCTTTTGAGAAGAGTCGCAAATTCCTTCGGTAGCTGGAGATTTGCTTCGCAGAGAATCCCTCGCACCACCAGAAGATCATCAAGGTCCTCCAGGGCTGCGCAGACTGCCTTCCCCAAGAGATCACTGAGGTAGTCCTTCCTGCCCTGCTTTCTTTGTTGTCTTCTTGGCCTGAGCCCTTCCCTTCTCTCGTCCCCTAACCTATTTCATAGCCTTTTGCCTCTGGAATACCATGGGCTTCCTGGAGGAGATGAAGAAGGCAAGTACTGTTTAGGCTTACCTGAAGCATAAGGCACTGGGATACGGAGGGATTGCCACCGAAACCAGAGTCTGCCTGATCTTCGCAGCTCAGGAATGCCATCTATCTGTGCCCTGCAAGGGACATTCAGGGAAGGAGGTTTTGGGACTGGGGCCTGCCTCCCCGCTCTGCCTGGGTACAGTGTCCTAGCTGGAGGTCAGCAGGGAGAGAGTGGAGAGTGTCATCACTGGGAATCAAACCTGGTGTTAGTACCCCTCTCCCAGGCAGTCAAGAAGAGAGTTTAAGAATTCTGAGCCGCCGGGCTCAGTGACTCAGCCTGTAATCCCACGCCTTTGGGAGGCTGAGGTGAGTGGATTGCCTGAGCCCGCGGGTTCGAGACCCACCTGGGCAGGCGAGACCTCATCTCTACAATAAATCAAAAAATTAACTGGGCATGGTAGCGCATGCCTGTAATTCCGGCTACTCGGAAGGTTGAGGTGGAAGGATCGCCGGAGCCCAGCAGGTTGAGGCTGCGGTGGCCGTGAGCAGCCACTGCACTCCGGTCTGGGCGACAGAGTGAGACTCCAACTCAAAAAAAAAAGACTTCTGAGCTATTGGCTGGGCACGGTGGCTCACCCCTGTAATCCCAGCACTTTGCAGTCTGTACAACTTGACAAAACCACGTGTCTACAATAAATCAAGAAAAATTAGCTGGGCATGGTGGTGCACACCTGTAGTTCCAGGTACTTTGAAGGCTGAGGCAGAAGGATCATCTGAGCCCAGAAAGTGAGCCCACCAAGACTCCGGTGGCCATGAGTTTGCCACTGCACTCCATTCAACCAGGGTGACAGAGACTCTGACTCAAAAAAAAAAAAAATCTGAACTATCAAAGAAGGGCTCTCTATCTCCCAGCTGATGAGGTGAAGATTGTGAAAGTGTGGGAGTGGTTGGAAGGGCAGTCAAGAGAGGCTCCAGAGACTTCATCTTTCCCTTTGTAACTGCTCAGCTCAAGACACAGATGTGGGCCAGGCTTGGTGGTTCAGCCTGTAATCCCAGCTCTTTGAGAAGCCGAGGTGAGTGGATTGCCTGGGCCCACGGGTTCGTGACCCATCTGGACAACTTGGCAAGACCTCGTCTCTACAATAAATAAAAAATTAGCTGGGCGTGGTAGCACGCACCTATAGTTCCAGCTACTTGGAGGGCTGAGGCCGAAGGATCGCCGGAGCCCAGCAGGTCGAGACTGTGGTGGCCGGGAGCAGCCACTGCACTCCAGTCTGGGTGACGGAGTGAGACTCCAACTCAAAAAAAAAATAAAAAAAGACACAGATGTGGCAACTCCTCAAGGGCCACAGCCACCTCCCAGATGAATTCTCCATCTTTTTTTTTTTGAGTGCTGCACATTTGACATGACTCAACTTTCTCTTCTCGTGTTAACATTCCTGAAGCCCTTCGCCTTATCCACAAATCTACTGTAGTCAATCAACGCAGCCTGTCTCAACCTTGGCGTTAGGACTTGATGTCTTTGCATAGTGACTTACATCCCACCCTTTTCAATTTTTATCACAGTAGTTCACACAGTGACCCTATAACTTTTGGTCTTTAGGTGTGTCATGATCCTGTCCATATCCTAGATCCTTCTTTTTCTCCTAAGCAGGACTGCCAGTAGGGAGCACTTTGCCGTACCCTAGAGAAGCAACTCCTTCTTTGAGTTGGAGTCTCACTCCATCACCCAGGCTGGAGTGCAGTGACACATGCATGGCCACTCCAGTGTTGACTTCCTGGGTTCTGGTGATCCTTCCGCCTCAGCCTTCCAAGTAGCTGGAACTACAGACATGCACTACCACACCCAACTAATTTTAGTTATTGTAGCGATGAGGTCTCACTAAGTTGCCTAGGCTGGTCTCAAACCCATGAGCTCTAGTAATCTCTCACTTCCACCTCCCAAAGTGCTGGGGTAACAGGTGTGAGCTACTGTGCCTGGCTATGTAGCCCCTTAAGTTTCCTTATCTTAAAGAAGTACACAGCTCTTCTAACGTTGCTTTGAGGGAGTTATTTCAGGTCAGGCACTGTGACAGGGTGCCTGGGTGACAGAGTGAGACTTTGACTCAAAAAAAAAAAAGGGTAGCTATTTCAAATGGGCACATAGTGCTTAGGAAGCACTCAGGTGTTACTAGGGAACAATGAACCCCTTTCCTCTCATAGGTTTCCCAGAACTCTTGCAGCTCTTCCACACTGCCTGTGAGGCCAGCTCTGAGGACAAGGATGACACAACCAGTACCAGCAATACAGACCAGCTGTCTGACCATGGGGACCTTCTGTCTGAAGAGGAGCTGGATGAGTGAGACTGGGAAAATGTGTGTTTTTTTTTGAGTTGGAGTCTCGCTCTGTTGCCCAGACTGGAGTGCAGTGGCTGCTCCCGGCCACCGCAGCCTCGACCTGCTGGGCTCCGGCGATCCTTCCGTCTCAGCCTTCCAAGTAGCTGGAACTACAGGCGCACGCTACCACGCCCAGCTAATTTTTTGATTTACTGTAGAGATGAGGTCTCACTGCCCAGGCGGGTCTCAAACCTGTGGGCTCAGGCAATCCACTCACCTCAGCTTCCCAAAGGCACAGGATTATAGGCAGAGCCCCGAGCCTGGCTTAAAGTACTTTTTAAAGCATTTGGCGATCCTCTTGCTTGAGCCTCCTGAGTAGCTGGGACTACCCGCATGCACCACTATTCCCACATAGCTTTTTGAATTTTTTTTTTTTTGGTAGAGATGAGGCATTGCTATGTTTTCTAGTCTGGTCTCAAACTCCTGGGCTTGAGCAGTCCTCCCACTGTGGCCTTCCAGAGTGCTGGGTTACAGGCCTGAGCCACTGTACCTGGCTTAAACTCTTTTAATCCAGGAAGGGAGATAGCAAAACCTCCCCATACTTGAGATCTGAGTTTTCTTCCCCTCCTACATACTTCCTCCCTTGTGGGGACCATCCGGAACAGTACCCTACTGGCTAGGCTGGAGGAGAAGAGGTAGGGAAGAAGAAGCCACCCTAGAGGGAGTCAGCAACAGATGGGAGGAGCTGTGGAGGCAGGGAACAGCAGTTACGGAAGAAGTCAAGGAAGGTTTAAGATCTGCAAGAAGGGCAGGCACAAGCCGTTATACTGATCTCGTAACTGGAGGCTGCTGCTATTGTAAATACTGGGCCAAAGCCAAAACTACCATTAATCTTATTCATGTGACAGCATAAATAAGAAACAGAATTAGAATTCTTATGTTCTCAGGCCATCAGCTGAATCAGGATGTTCAGAGTCTTATTTGAAAATTGGAGCATGAGCCAGGTGTAGTGGCTCAAGCCTGTAATTCTAACACTTTGGAAGGCTGAGACGAGAGGATTGCCTGAGCCTGTGGGTTCGAGACCAGCCTAGGCAACATGGTGAGACCTTGTCTCTACAATAAATCAAAAAATTAGCCGGGCGTGGTAGCATGTGCCTGTAGTTCTGGCTACTTGGACGGCTGAGGCAGAAGGATCGCCTGAAACCAGCAGGTCAAGGCTGAAGTGGCTATGAGCGTGCCAGTACAATCTAGCCTGGGCGACTGAGTGAGACTTCAACTAAAAAAATAAAAGTAAAATAAATAAATAAGCTGGGCATGGTATTACGTGCCTGTAGTTCCAGCTACTTGGAAGGCTGAGGCCAAAGGATTGCCTAAGCCCAACAGGTTGAGGCTGTGGTGGCCTTGAGCATGCCACTGTACTCAAGCATGGGCAACAGAGTGAAATTTCAACTCAAAAAAAAAAATTGGAGCGTGGGGTAGGGAGAGAAGAATATCACTGAAATGCCCAGAGACATTAGGGAGAAAAGGACATGAGATGTGATACAAGCGAGCTCTTAAGGACTGACAGCCCTCACCTTGTGTTAAGCTCTGTTTATACTTCTCAGCACCACTGACTGGGCAAAGCATCGTATTCCAGAAGGGTTGCTACATGCAGACAGTGGGGTCTATGGGTAGCGTGTCTAAACTGCAGCAGAGTATCAAGAAGGGACTGGCCTGGAACCTAAGGAAGGAAAGGGGATGATCACTCTGGTGTCATCACCTAAAGACATGGAAGAGACATTACAGACCAGGGTTATGAACAGGGCTGACCAAACCCCACGTACAGCTTCATACACCTTTTCCCCAGAGAAGCTCAGCATAGCAGCGAGATGAACCATGGAAAGTGGAGAGGAACGCAGGCGATAGGAACAGGGACTGTGTCCAGGGTTATAGCCATGTGACACTGCAGGAGAAGGGCAAAGTGCCCTCCAAAGAGGAGCCCGAGAGTCATGCTTGGCCTTCTGGACCTGGAAAGGGTGGATGGAGGCAGAGTGTTAATGGCCATGAGGTCTGGGAGATGAAGCAGGGATGTGTTTATCCCAAGACACACAAAGCAAACCGTGATCTAAGAGGCCACACCAGAGCTGAGTTCAAGCCCAGGAGTCACGAACAGAGCCAATAACAGACAGAGAGAGGTTGCCGGTTAGTGTGAGGAGCGCCAGGACCTGTACCTCAGAATAAGAGTGCTGAGCCTTACACCATAGTGCTGGTAAGGGGAAAGTTGACAGGTAGGTGAGGTCACAGGCCCAGGCTCTTGCCCAAGGATAAGGCAGGTAAGAGAGCCATAAGCAGCCAAACTGACCAAAAGGGGCAGACCAAAAGCTGTGTTTATCAGACGGTAGAGGTTTTCCTGGGGCTCCTAATGAAAAAAACACAGAGGAATGTGCATGAAGCAACTTTTTCATTGGAATTCTCATTTCTCCCTTCCCACTCTGTGACTGCTTTTCACCTACTCACCCCAAGACTGTAGGGCCCAGGCAGCAGGCCCCAGGTTATGATTCCGCGCCCTGAATATTCATCTTGTAGCAACTCTGCTGCTTTAGCGCCTACCCCAGAGAAACCGTCATGCAGGTCACAGAGGATCTGGAAGCCCTGGACAGGTGCATGATGAAAGACAGTCAGGAGGGCCAGGCTCGGTGGCTCAGCCTGTAATCCCAGCACTTTGGGAGGCTGAGGCAAGTGGACTGCCTGAGCCCGTGGGTTCGAGACCTGCTCAGGCAACTTGGCAAGACCTTGTCTTTACAATAAATCAAAAATCACCCGGGCGTGATAGTGCACGCCTGTAGTTCTGGCTTCTTGGAAGACTGAGGCGGAAGGATCACCAGAGCCCAGAAGGGCGAGGCTGCGGTGGCCTAGAGTGTGCCACTGCACTCCAGTCTAGGCAACAGAGTGAGACTCCAACTCAACGAAAAAAAAGAAAGACAGTCAGGAGGAGGACGAGGACAGCGTCTACCCTGGGGTCCAACTTGCCATGCAGCTACCTGCAAGTAGTCACATTCCTCCACATAGAAGTGCAGCCTGTCCTCCAGCTCTTCCAGGTACCTGGGTTCCTTCAGGACACTCTCCCCTTGGCCAAAAGCCTCCAGGCGACCTTCCTCCCTGCCAGGAATAAACATGACCCGAGACTTACAACCCTTGCCCTCAATGCCTCCAACTCTTTTGTTTTTCGTTTGGGGGAAGATGGCTGCAAGAGCCCCATCCAGCACTGGTGGGGAACCGCATCTCTTGCCAAACAAACACAGCCTCTGACCCCCATACCCATCATGGTTGTACTTCTGAATCACACAGATGCTCCGGGGATGGAGATGGACACGGAGGAAGTCCGACCACACTCTGATGCTGCCCTCTGAGGGCGTAAGTGGTTTTGGAGTTGCAGCTGGGGTGAGTGGTGGGGGACCTGAAAAAGGTAGAGGAACTGTCCCTTTCTCCATGTTCCTGCTCTACCGAGGTCCCTATCCACCAATATCTGGAGAAGTCTCACCTTTGCCGTCGGGAATGGATTTAACCCGCCACACACCATCGCTAAGCACTCCCTGGGAGGGGTGAGAAAAATCAACATTTAGCTCCTGGTAAATGTTTAGAGGCAAAGTTGATGTGTCTTTCCCAGGTTTGCTAGCCACACCCTACAGTCACCGTCCTGTTCACATAATCAGTCCTTAGGAAAAGAAGTGCTTTCTTGCAAAACACCATTCTAAGGCATTTAAGGCGATAAAATCCTCTTTTTATCTGCGCCAGTGGAGGCGCTCTGGTTGAGCACTGGGTAACACAGATCCGAGGCAGAGCCCCTCACCTCTGCACTCAAAAGGTCCTGGAGATAAGGGTTCTTTGGACAGGATTCCTCTGTGTGTGTGGTGAGCTTCCCCTGCCTGAAAGAGATTGGAGATTGATCAAAGAAACTGCAGTATGACGCATCCTGCAGCTTTCTGCACACACACGTTGTTCCCCACCCTTCTCCATACATCAAACAAATGCTCACCATGCTATTGCAGCATCCAGCTGTTTGTCTCTGTACAGTCCACCTTCCTCTTTTAGGGAGTTCAGACTACCTGTACAGAAGCAACAGGCAGTGTTCGTCAAGGTCTAGAGACCCTCCCTCTCCCTTCAGCTAATCTTCCTCTGATCACCTGACACCCCGCTGTCACCGTCCCTCCAGCACTTGGCTCTTCCAAGCTTTCTTGGATATACCTTAGTTGGGGGGAAACCCTGGTCTGGGATAACCTAATTCCATCCTTCCGATGCCAGCTCAGTCATTAGCTTGCGGTGTCTGGGGCAGAAATCACGTCCAGCGGCCCCACAGGAGGGCTGCAAGTCAACATCTCACTGTCTCAGGGGCTTGTGGCCTATTCCAGAGATGGCTCCTGCGCAGAATAACGTTTTGCCTTCCTGCGCCTCTCGGGGGCTGGCAACACTGTGGCCGGTAGGGTGGGAGACTCCGCACGCCAAAGGGAAACGCTGAGCACCGGCTGACCCCGCCACGCCTCACCCTTCAGATCCACGAGGATGAGTCGTGGCGTGTAGGTCTCCTGGCCGTGCAGCGTCCGGCCCGTCCGGTAGAGGACGTCGGGGCACAGCTCTCCCGGTGGCTCCTCGGCGTCGGCCGCTCGGCCCAGCGCAGCATCCTGGGGAGGCAGAGGAAGGGCTGGGCTGGGGGCGGCGAGTGGGCAGGCCGGAAGGCAGGACTGGATTCCGAAAGGTCCCGCTGGGCAGCTGCCGGTAGACCTCACCTGCTGGTTCCACCAGTGAGCGCCCACGAAACCCGCAAAATGGCCCAGCTGCAGAGTGAGCACCTCCCGAGCCCCGCCCGCCATACCGCGCCGCCGCACGGGCCGCCCCGCCCCCGCCCGTCCGCTCGCCCGCTCGCTGCTCCAAGCCCATTGGCCGTGCCTGCTTGTAGGCGGGGCGCCGTCCTCTGCGCCCTATTGGTCCGCAAGCACATCCTTTCTCTCGGAGAGACGATTCGTTGCCCTAGAGACACCGCCCATCATTTCCGCTCGTCTCGGCGGCGGGGGCCGGTCGCGCCGCCGCGCGGTGGCGGTCGAGGGCCAGGGCCCGCAGGCCGCGCCGGAAGTTGCAGGCGTCGGAGGAACACGCCCGGTGGGGCGCTCTTGGAGCTGTTTCCTCTACGACTCCCGTGCGGCCCTGCCTGCTGCTCCTGTTTCGGGTTTTGTCCCTTCTCACGCAGACATCTCTAATGGCTGATGGCTCCTGAGACAAAAGTAGAACGTTGCCAGAGAAGCGGAAGGTCCCCTAAAGGCGCCCCGTGCTCCCCCTCTTCCCTCCAAGTCCCCGTTCCCGACTTCCCACTGTGTGCACTGGCCTACGTAGCTGTCGTTTATCTGCACAGTATTATCTCATCCGTCACGTTATGCAAAAGAATCCGAGTACGTATTCTTCTGCCTCTGGCTTTGGCTCAGTGTGGTTTGTGAAATCCATCCCTATTCTTACAATATACCTGCAGTTCATTTTCATTGCTGCAGAAGAGCCCGTTGTATGAATATACCACAAGTGATCAACTGCCAATAAAGGATTTATTCTGCTAATAGACTTGGGATTGTTTCCAATTTTTGGCCTTAAGTGCCGCTACAATTTACAATCTTGTGCCTATGAACACTTTTCTCTGGGGTATATTCCTACGAGTGTTAATTTGCTGGGGGGAGGTGCATCATAAGATTGGGTATGTTCAAACTTGGTCAATAACATCAGGTTATTTTCTAAAATTGTTTATAAATTTACAATGCCACCAGTAGTGGCAGCAGTAGGAAAGTATTAAGTTGATGTTCCATAACCTTGGCAACATTTTAAAGATTTGATTATTACGATGGCTTTAATTTTCCTGATTACTGATGAGGTTGAGAGCACCTTTTCATATCAGCCATTGGGATATCTTTTTTTGGTTTTTTTTTTTTGAGTTGGAGTCTCACTCTTTCTCAGGCTGACATGGCCATCACAGCCTCAACCTGCTGGACTCAAAGACTATCCTTCGGCTTCAGCGTTCCAAGTAGCTGGAATTACAGGCATGCACCACCATGCCCATCTAATTTTTTGATTTATTGTAGTGAAGAGGTCTCCCCCAAGTTGCCCAGGCTGGTCTCGAACCCGTGGGCTCAGACAATCCTCCTACCTCAGCTTCCCAACGTGCTGGGATTATAGGTGTGAGCCACTGCACCCGGCTGGAAATTTCCATAGAATTGAATCTCTGCAGACCCCTAACAAGCAAAATACCAGAGAAATGCAGATTGGCAGTCTGAAGGCTCTTTCCATATTATAAATCTAACACAACACTTTAAAAGGTATTTCATTTTATTTTGTGGGAAAAGATCCACAATCATCTTAAATGGGAAAACCACATCCAATAAACTAACGTTAGTTTCAGGAACAAGGGCCTATGTTATTGCCGCGTGCTCACAGTGGAACAATGAGGGCCTGGAGCCAGCTGCAGTCCCGAGCAGTCCCCTAAGTAGAGGCGCCTGGTTGCTCCTCCTGGGGACTGTGGGCCTTCCCCACCTGCTTGGGTCCAGCTTGAAGGAGATGTTCATTGTCTCCCAGGCATGTCGTGACCCAGGCTCACAGGTAGGCACAGATCCGCTCCAACTGCCAGGGGTTCGCGTTGCTCAAGAACAGAAGCTCCTTTTTCCCTTCTTCGGTATGAGCTAGAATGGCGTCAAACACAGATAAGTGTCAGTTTCTTCCTGCTGGGCTGTGTCCCGGAAAGTTCTGGGAGTCAGAGGCCACCATATCCAGATTAGGTTCTGATGTAATTAGTCTTCCCCAAGAGAACTCGCTTCTAATCCTTTATCCCAATAAGCTATTCTTTTGTCCTCTTTTGTTTCCTTTATACTTCTCCAATCCAGCATCTATCTGTTCCCCACATTCCAAGTGCATCTTCTGGACTTCAAGACTTGTCACATGTCCCTGTTAAACCCAGAATTCAAATCTGAGAGAGACCACAAAGAGCCAGCTCCGATGCAAACACACAAGGGTCTTTATTCAGGCTCGAGTCTGGGCTCACGTATGAAGCTGGTAGTGGCTTCAGGGACAAGAGCCTAGATCCAGTATGGCAAGCAGTTTTTATGCACAATTACAGAGGGAGGGGAAAGAACTTTAAACTTGTTTTTACATGATTGGGTAATTTCTCCTAATGGGTACAGGGGCACTTGGGATTGGTCTGGTCTGCTCAGCTACCTGTGATTGATGGGGAACTGCTAAATGGGCAGGGTGGAATGTCAGATAAGCTAGGTTTAGCAAGCAGGCAGGAGGTTAAACACAGAACCTACGGCGGGGGGGGGTGGCTGGTGCCACCAGTCTACTGTTATCTAAGCAAAGGAATATCTGGGAGGGGCTTATTGCTCAACATTCACACACTGCTAGCAGCAGTTGCGGAAGCAATCAGTTATTTTATGAGGCAAACAAAAATTAAACTTAACAAAGTTCTAAGTACAAACACTATAAACAAATACAGTGAACGTGGGGTAGGAATTTATATAGTAATAGTTCTCTTAAGAGTTTTTTGAATCTCTTGGGTCTCTCATCCCAACTCCCCTAGGGATCTTTCTGTTGTGCCTCCCACCTTGTCAAGCTGCAGCTACTTTCATATTCGTCCATCCGCTCCTGCAGTGACCATTCGCGTTCCTGCTACTTTTCTCTCATCTAGGCTAGAGTGGCCGCTACTCTTCTCCGTCTCCCTCACACCCACAGGTGAGGTCAGGGAACAGCTGAGATGTTTTCAGTCAAGGTGGATGAAATATGGTGTGTAAGACTTAATTTTTGTACATATACTAGAACAGGTATGGTAAAGACTCGGTTTGGTGCTGGGGTAGCTTCTCACACAGGAGAAATTATTCTATGAGTGTCCCAGCTACTTAGGAGGTACAAGCGGAGGTGGAAGAGTTACCTGAGGGGGGTGGGGTAGAGAGTCCAGCCTCTTTTTTTTTTTGAGTCGGAGTGTAACTCAGTTGCCCTGGCTAGAGTGCAGTGGCACGCTCACAGCTACTGTAGCCCCGGCCTTCCAAGTAGCTGGAACTACAGGCATGCGCTACCACGCCTGGCTAATTTTTGATTTATTGTAGAGATGAGGTCTCACCAAGTTACCCAGGCAGGTCTCGAACCCGCGGGCTCAGGCAATTCACTCACCTCAGCCTCCCAAAGTGCGGAATTAAAGGCTGAGCCACCGAGCCCAGCTCAGGCAATCCTTTTACCTCAGCCTTCCAAGTAGCTGGAACTACAGGCATGTGCCACTATGCTCGGCTAATTTTTCTTGATTTATTGTAGAGATGAGGTCTCACCAAGTTGCCAAGCCTGGTCTCGAACTTCTGGGCTCAGGCAATCCTCTCGCCTCAGCCTCCGAAAGTGCTAGGATTACAGACTTGAGCCACCGTGCCCAGCCAGACACATCATCACTTCTAACATCACTTCTTTTCAGAAGGAAACATCAGACAACTCCCAAAAGTAATCAACAAAATAACTGGTACGTACTTTTCAGGCCAGGGTCAGTGGCTCATGCCTATAATCTCCGCACTTTGGGAGGTAGAGGCAAGTGGACTGCCTGAACCCAGGGTTTCGACACCAGCCCGGGCAAGTTGGCAAGACATCATCTCTACAATAAATAAACAAATTAGTTGGACATGGTGGCACGTGCTTGTAGTTCCAGCTACTTGGAAGGCTGAGGTGGAAGGATCCTGTGAGCCCAACAGGTCAAGGCTGTGGCAGCTGTGCATTCCAGCTGGGCAAAAAGTTGAGACTCTGACCCCCCCCACCAAAAAAAGACAAATACCCTTTATGACAAACTTCAAAAACAAAGAATATCTAGAAATAACTCTAATGAGTAAACTCCACATCACTACAACCTAAAACATCCTGTTGTGTAATGTCCTGACACCATCCCCCATCTCCCCAAAGGAAGCCTCTGCCCTGACCCCTAACATCATAGGTTATTTTTGTGTTTTGTATAAATAGGGTCATGCAGCATGTACTATATTGTATTTTGAGTCTTTTCCATTGATGAGATTCACCATTGCATGCTGTACAAAAATAGGTACTGGTTCAGTGTGTGATGGCTCATGCCTGTAATCCTAGGACTTTGGGAGGCAGAGGCCAGAGGATTTCCTGTGCCCAGGTGTTTGAAACCAGCCTGGGCAACTTGATTGTGACCTCATCTCCACAATAAATCAAAAAATTAGCTGGGTGTGGTGGCATGTGCCTGTAGTTCTAGTTACTCGGAAGGCTGAGGCAGAAAGATTGCCTGAGCCCAGCAGGTCGAGGTTTGGTGGCCATGAGTGTGCCACTGCCCTCCAGCCTGGGCTACAGAGTGAGACTCCAACTCAAAAAAAAAAAAAAAAAAAAAAGCTGAAACAGACAGGAAATGCCATTTAATCATCTGCAGATTGTGTATGCCATAAAGTGTGACAGCAGTGTGGTCTAGCGCAGTTAAATGGCAACTAAATTGGTTATTCTACATTTGGCTCTGACAATAAGCTGCTGTATGATCTTAAAATTATCATGACATATTTTTGGTTCTCAAACTTTTTTCCAAAGCTGGTAAGGAAACACAAAAAACTTTAAATGACTGCAAGCAGAATACAATTAGGCCAATATTTATTTATTTATATATTTTGAGTTGGAGTCTCACTCCATCTCCCAGGCTGGAGTGCAGTAGCATTCATGGCCACCTCAGCATTGACCTGCTGGCCTCAGGTAATTCTTCTGCCTCAGCATTTCAAGTAGCCGGAATTACAGGTGCATGGTACTATGCCCAGTTAATTTTTTGATTTATTGTAAAGATAAGGTCTTGCCAAGTTGCCTAGGCTGGTCTTTTTTTTCCCCATAGGCTAAAAGGAAGGGTTTCTGTATTTTATAATAAAGTACTCTGTCATGTTTTTCAAAATTATATGCACTTAAAAGAGGTAATATACAAAAAAGAAATCAGGGCACAGTGGCTCATGCCTATAATCCCAGCATTTTGGGAGAAAAAGGCAAGAGGATCACCTGAGCCCAGGGGTTCAAGACCAGCCTGGGCAGGTTGCTGAGACCTCATCTGTACAATAAATAAAATTTAAAAAAATTAGCTGGGCATGGGTGCAAACCTGTAGTTCCAGCTACTTGGAAGGCTGAGGCAGAAGGATCGCCTGAGCCTAGCAAGTCAAAGATGCAGTGGCCATGAGTGTGCCACTGCCATCCAGCCTGGGCAACAGAGTGAGACTCTGACTCAAAAAAAAAAAAAAATCAGTTTGCACAGAACACAGCTGTCAAAAGTCACTGTGGCTAAAGCAAGGCTGGTCCAGTCTTGTGGGTAAACCTCTCTGTTAGCGTAATAAGAAGTCACTGGTGAGAAGGAGAGTCACAGAGGGCAGCCTAGTCTCGCCCTTTTGAAGGAGGGTCCTGGGTTCATGCCACAGGTATACCTCACTTGTAAAAAGCGCAACATGGGTAACATGCTCACTGAGCACCCAGGATTGACTGGCATTTTACACCCCTTTCCCTTTTAATCACTTCGGTGGGAAGATCTTGTCAACATCTCCAATTCACTGTCCATGAAATTGAGTTTCAAAAAGGTTCAGGAACTTGGCCCATGCCACACATTCACCAAATCAGAGCAAGGATTGAGCCTGGGACAGGTCCCATTCACCAGACCATGGAGGGTCCAGGAGTTCTCACATGCGGGTACACGTGTACACACATGTACACATGTACACACACACACACACACACCTGCCCACAGGATATACCCACTCAGATGTACATGCACAAACAGAGCCACTCTTCCTGGGGAGTTCAGCAAGTGTGTGACTGGAGCTGTATTGCTTCCTGAATAGGCTCTGCTGCATTTGCATAGCGATGCTAAGTTCATCCTCCCACAAACCAGCAGAAATGGGCTGGAGATTACAGCTCTCCTCTCACCACCGAGGCTGGCCTTGAACCTGTGGGCTCAGGCAATCCTCTCACCTCGGCCTCTCAAAGTGCTGGGATTATAGGCTTGAGCCACCGTGCCCGGCAAGGCCAACAGTTAAAGAAAATGGGTTTGAATAAGCTTACTCCAGTCAAGTGGAAAGATTAGAAACCAAATATATAGATTTAATTCAGACCTTATTCCTAACTTGGTACAGTTATGGGAATTAAATAAAAGAACTTTCTGGGTTGGGCTCAGTGGCTCAGACTATAATCCCAGTACTTTGGGAGGCCGAAGCAAGTGGATTGCCTGAGCCTGCGGGTTTGAGAATAACCCTGGCAACTTGGAGACACCTCGTCTCTAAAGAATCAACAAAAAGCCGGGCTCGGTGGCTCAGCCTGTAATCCCAGTGCTTTGGGAGGCTGAGGTGAGTGGATTGCCTGAGCCCGCGGATTTGAGACTCGCCTGGGCCACTTGGCGAGACCTCATCTCTACAATAAATCAAAAATTAGCTGAGTGTGGTAGCGCGTGCCTGTAATTCCAGTTACCTGGAAGGCTGAGGCGGAAGGATCGCTGAAGCCCAGCAGGTTGAGGCTGTGGTGGCTGGGAACGTGCCACTGCACTCCAGTCTGGGTGACAGAGTGAGACTCCAACTCAAAAAAAAAAAAAAAAGAACTACTATGCTTCTGAAGATTTAACAGCAGTCACCAAGAAAGAAGACACCAAATGCCCCAACCACACCCTTCCTTGATGCTTCTGATCTCTGCTTAGACCACACAGCTTCAATGTGAAAAAAGCACCAAAAGACAAAAAATTAAGAAAGAAAACACGGCTGGGCGTGGTGGCTCACACCTACAATCCCAGCACTTTGGGAGGCCCAGGTGACAGGACTGCCTGAGCCCACATCTCTACAATAAATCAAAAAATTAGCCAGGCATGGTGGTGTGTGCCTATAGTTCCAGCTACTTGGAAGGCTGAGGTGGATCACCCCAGCTCAGCAGATCGAGGTTGCGGTGGCTGTGAGCAGTGACACTGCACTCCAGCCTGAGTGACACAGTGAGATTCCACACACACACACACACACACACACACACACACACAGAGATTAGTAGGAGTCAACAGAGTGCGGTGGCTTACTCCTATAATCCCAGCACTTTGGGAGGCCCAGGTGAGAGGACTACCTGGGCCGATGGGTTGGGGACTAGCCTGGGCAACTTGGTGAGTCCTCATCTCTACAATAAAAAAAAAAAAAAAAACACCGAGGGATTTTGGCTAAAAAGTTCCAGAATGAGGCTTTTGCATCTTTATTTTAAATAAGCTTCTAGCTGACCCAGAGTTGAAAATCCTTGGTCTAGAGATCATATCCAAGAAGCACTGAAGTAAAGGACCATTTTTTACCAATACATTTATAGTTCGGGGAAAAAAATTTTTTGACAGAATCTCACTGTTGTCCAGTGTAGAATGCAATGGTGTGATTACAGCTCACTGTAGCCTCGAGCTCCTGGACTCAAGCAATCCTTCTGCCTCAGGCTCCTGAGTAGTTATGACTATGTGGAAACATGCCACCACATCTGTCTAATTTTTTGTTGTTGTTCTTAGAGACAGGGTCTTGCCATGCTGCTTAGGCTGGTGTCAAACTCCTGGTCTCAAGTGATCCTCCCACCTCAGCCTCCCAAAGTGCCATGATTACAGGCCCCAAAAATATCTTATCTGGAGAAAATAATGTAATTGGAAATATGTTTGTGAGAGATGTGAGGCTGTACCTTGAAAAGTACAATCTGGAGTTTGCTACCAGTTTGAGAACCAAACCTTACTACTCACAAAATTAAAACAGCTTACTACTACCTTTTAATTTCACACAAATAAGAGTTTCAAGGTGTGAACTCACTGTGTGTAAAATGTACAAGGTAAATGCAAAATGGTATAGTTATTCCAAAATACATTATCAATTCTCCATAGTCACCAGTATCAGGGCACAAAGAAGTCAGAATTGATATAAAGATTATCCAACACCAAACTTCTAGAAGTCTAGTGACCTGGCTGAGGAACCATTCATTCACAGTTTTGAAATTCTTCACCCAAGTTGAAGCCTCTAAAGGTTAATCAAAGCACTGTTTGTTGTAGGTGGACTGCAGAAGATCCTGGCAATTTTTTACCCAAAGATGAGCTAATAAAAAGGCACAAGAGACTGGGCACGGTGGCTCATGCCTATAATCCCGGCACTTCGGGAGGCCAAGGTGAGAGGATTGCCTGAGCCCACAGGTTTGAGTTCAGCCTAGGCAACTTGTTAAGAGCTCATCTCTACAATAAATCAAAAAACTACCTGGATGTGGTAGTGCAAACCTGTAGTTCCAGCTACTTAGAAGGCGGAGGCAGAAGGATCACCTGAGCCCAGCAGGTCGAGGCTGCAGTGGCTGTGAGTGTGCCACTGGACTCCAGCCTGGGTCACAGAGTGAGACTCCAATTAAAAAAAAAAAAAGGCACTTGGTTTCTCTTTCTCTCTCTCTTACTCTCTCCTTCTCTCTGTCTCTTTCTTTTTTCCTGTTACAGATCCCCTCTGTAACAGCTGCTTTAATAAATCTCTTGGTCCTGGCCGGGTGTGGAGTCATTACTGGCACCGAACTTCTTTCATTGGTGCGTGACTCCGATCGGGTGCTCCCTAGCCTTTGTGCGGGTGTATTCCCATAGGCGGGATCCCCGACCCGGCGCCAGTGGTCACTCCAGCCCTCCCAGACCTTCACCACCGTTTTGAACGCATGAACTGCATCCACCAGCGACCACTGGATAGGTTGTTAACTAAATCTGATAAAGAGTGTACCATGGAGAGCTCAAGGCTGGTTCGCCGCCATAGAGGAAATGATGGTACTGATGAAACACCTTCTCCAGAGAGCTCTGCCAGAGATGACATCAGTAATTCCGATGAATTGACGTCTGACACAAGTGGATCCGATAATGAAAGCCCTCAGCCAGCAGCAGTGCCAGAAGAAAATTCTGATGATGTCATCAGTGATATCCTGCTGCTAACTGAAGAGAATGGAGAAAGCTCCAAGGGAGCCACCGGTACCAACACTGACCCACCTGGCCCTGTAAAAATATGCTGGGATGAAGACCCAAGCACTGAACCACATGGCCCTACAAAAATATCCCGTTGTGAAGACACAAAAATAATCGCTGTCCCGTATGGTTCTAAAAGTGTGTACTGGAGGGAAGTTGGAGAAATAAACATTATCCCACCTCGCCCTGGTCGTGTACACTGGAGTGAAAGCGCAGAAGTATCCCCACAGGCAACTACGGACAATGAAAGCTCTGATGGAGCCAAAAGTACCATGGGCAAGAGTAAAAAGGCAAATTTAATCGTGTCATCCTTGTCATACCAGATAGTTGGACTTCTGATGACTTTAGCGAGCATGATGATTATGACGGCAGACATTGCTGTTAGAGATCCTATGTCTACAGGATGGCAAGCCATTACATTGGCATTTGACATGTTCTTTGTCGTAGATATTTTTCTACGAGTACTTGCAGAAGGGGCACAGCTCTACTTTTCCGTGACCCTCAATATCGTAGATGCTGCAATTATCGGGTTGTCTCTGCCGATTAATGTCTTGTACATATGGCACGACCCAGAGTTTCGTAACGATGCCCCAAGGCTTTTCAGATCATTTCAAATCTTTCACTTCACTGTCATGTTAAGAGTTGTTCGATTGGCTCACCAGATACGCTACTTTCGAAGACTGGTGTCAAAAAGATGTTGGAAGGATGGATTTCACCTGGGGCTCAGATACATCTCAGATCAGATTATTATGATAACATTTCCCCATGGTGAAAATCAGTCTTCCTGCAGGAATTCTACTGTGGATGTCATGCGGTTCCTGGAGGCAAGACATGCAGACCACTATTGTATCTGCAATCTCTGTAGTGCAAGGGAATACTATCCTGTGTACATTCAGGAAAGGGTCTTTAGACTTGAGACTGATGAACACAATGTCCCCATTCTGGACCATATGATGGCGTTCTTCACCCGTGTAAGAAACCGGACAGCTCAAGATAGCAACAATGTGGTAGTGATTTACTGCAAAGGAGGCAAAGGACGAACTGGAATAGCGATTTGTATCTGCCTTATTGCTAGTGGAATGGTCTCACCTGCAAAGGAGAGCCTTGCTTACTTTGCAAAACATCGGACAGATGAATCCAAAGGCACTGAGTATCAGGGTGTAGAATCTCCTTCTCAGAGGAGATATGTGCAGTACCTCGGATGGATGATAGGTCAAAACAACGTAGAAGCAGCACGACTTGTAATCAAAAAAAAAATCACTCATTCCATATGTGGTGTTGGAGCAGGTGATGGATAAGATTTAATAATGCAAGTAACAATGAAAAAAACGACTGTGTTTTCCTGCTCCGTTGGAAAGAACTGTAAGCTCATCCATGACACTGAGGAAAACAAATAAATAATTAAGGTATACAACTGCCCACCGCTATATGCTGATGTGAAAGTGAAGTTTTTCTCTCTGATGCTTCCTAATTATTATGATGAATGTGCATTTCATTTCTGGTTCCACACAAGTTTTATAAAGGGAAAGAGGCTCTATCTATCACAAGAGCTACTGGATAACCCCCATATGGAAAAGACATGGAATATTTACAATTCTGAATTTACTGTGGATGTTCGCTTTGATGTAGCATAACTTGAAGCCATGCATCAGCTGCAGTAGACCTTGTTTAAAAAGCCTGTTCTACCTATCTCTGCTACCTCTATCTTCCAAGTTCACATGATTTTGTTATATGCATATTTAAAAA